ATTAGTATAAAAAAAAATTCTGCCTCTACGTGAAAGTAATGGCATGGTAGGTTCATGCGTCATGACCCTTGAGCCGTGAAACACAGCTGCACATAGCTGAAATTCACATGGCAGACTGGTTTAAAGCCCTCTAGTTTACATCTCTTGCATAGATTATCTAGGCTCCTACTCTTTCCTTTGCCTGGATACACTTATCCATGGCTAAACTCCTGCCTCTGATGCTGTTTTTTTTAACTTTAAGGTAAAAATGGAGACGCATTTTGCATGTTGAAGATGTTGCTTAGGATGCTTTATTCTTCTATCAGGAGACAGTTTGCCTCTCACTGCTCCTGAAGGAGGGTGGCTGAGATTACAGTAACTGATACTATCCAGATTACCTTATTTACTGCTTTTCTAACAGGATAAGATGCTGCTGTCTGACTGCAGAGAGCTGTTTACCAGCAACTGCAGAAAGAAGTGGTGGTGCTCTACCTCACAGACCTATCAGCTATGGTTATTTGGAGTACAGTATGGATGTGTGGACACTGAGTATGTGTAAATTTAGGGGTCTGCAAAGGTTAATGCTGCCTCGAGAAACATTAGCACTTAAGTAATCTTCAGGTAAGGGAAATAAAAGAATAATGTAAAATCCATGAAGAAAATACAGACTTTGTCAATGAGTCTGTGTTTTTGTTCCTTTCTACTTGCAGCAGATTTTGCTGAGGAAGCTGCAGAATCGTCCCTGCAATGCATGTGCTTCCTCAGCCCATAGCAAAGAGCCTGGCACCACAAGCCTGGCAGCACCCTGCGGAGACAGCTCGGGGTGCAGACCACTGGGGAGCAGCAAGGGCAGCACCTGGCATCCTTGGCTGAGAAAACCAGCTTTGGAAACAGTGCCAGACCTTGTCAGTAAAACTTCTGTGTGGTGGCAAACCACATCAGGGTTTATGGGCCCTGCCCTGCCTTGCACTCCTTGGGAAGAGCTTCCTGAGGGCTTTGGATCAAACCAAGTGCTGCTGGATTTTACCAGCTTCTAGAGACCTACTTTGATCGGAGCTTCTTATCATGATGTTGATGTAGTATTAAATTATATGCTGCTCTTCAGCATTTCCTAGCACAGTTGCTGTTTCCAATCTCTCAAAGAAGAGGGAGAGGCATTTTGTATCTGCTTATGTATAAAACAATAGGAAGCTGTCCAGCAGTGTGCTGAATTACATTAAGTTCTGCATTTGGCATTTGTTACTTAGAAGGAATAAGCCTAATTACAGCTGTTTAAAAGGAAACACAAAAAAAAAAAAAAAAAAAACAAAAAAACCAAAACAAAACAAAACAAAACCCCACAAAACATTCAAGACAAAAAAGAGACAGATTTTTCCATCACATTCACCTTTGCCACCTTTAACAAATTAGAGGATAAGCAACTACTAGTTCATATTACCGTATGGATCGCTGTGAAGATATTACTCTATAAATTACTGTACTAATTGCCATTGTCTTTATAACAGCTGCAGATGACAGTATTCCATTCTGCTACATGCATGACAGCAAAATAACAAGTGTTGCAAAATAGTTTATGAATCCACAAGAACTGAAAACTAGTTAAAGCTCTGGAAGGGGAAGGAGGTCCTACAATTCTGCATAGGATTCTAGGTGGAGAAATGATCTGTTAATCACAGTGTAAGATACAGTTACAAGACTGTCAGGAGGCCCTTCACATTAGGTGTTAATGATCTTATAAATAATAACAAATTGTTGAAGCAAGTTAAGAAGATTTGCAGAGACTTCTGATAACTTGGTAACTCTAAATAGATTTTCCGAGGGAAATGCTGTATGGTCTGGAGACACTATGGAAGAGGACCTAAAGAGACAACCTGCACAACTGCGATGACCCTTAGGTGTGGCAGCCCTTCAGCCTTGAGAGCAAACAGCACACATTTATGCCATGTATGTGCATGACTGTTGGACAGACTATCTGATACATCTGTCCAGAAAATCTGCTGACTAATATGGAGAGTTTTATAGAAGGAGCAGGCAGTTACCAGAAAGTTGGTATTGGAGTGCCTGTACATCAGATCAAAGAAAATCTTGTATGGATCCCAGACCCCATTTCCTAATGGAATCCGTGAATACTCCAAGACCCCATCCTAGAGACAAATGTCACAACTCTGGTCAAGTCTTAAAGAAGATTTGTCTCCATGTTCCCTTTGTGTCCATGTGCAGGCAGAAATAACGAGGCAATGAATTTATCTCCATGTTTCCTGTTGGCTGCAGGTTCAATGACGACGATTGGAATCATTTTTCTTACATTAAATTAAAAGGTTTCTTGCTTTTTCAGGTGATTTATTTCCTCTTCATGGGATGCAGCTCCATTTAACTGACATGGCTAGGGAATTAGTAGGGTATTAAAGCTGTCAAAAATGACAAAATGCTGCATGCTAATTGCCAGTTATGTTCATTGACCTTGAAAGTGATGGAGAGAAGCAGAACCATGGTGGCATATAAAACCACGTAAATTTGCAGAGATGCAGAAATGTTAACTGCGAGGACGTGTGTGCACACTTTACAGCAAAAGTGCTATTTGCTTTTTAATCTCCCCTTCTTGTTTTGCAGAAAGAGATGACAACCAGGATGTGTCATTAAAAAGCTGCCCACTGAAGAAAAGTGAAGTCCAATTTCCTTCTTACTGCAGCATTCAAGAACGTGACAGCCCTCATGGGTTGAGCCTGCTTGTTAATCCATGAAAGCAGGAAAGTTGGGAACCACAATTACTTCCACAAATCTCATCGCTGTCAGTGTTCTTAACCCTGAATATGCTGCTAGGAACCTCGTCTGAGCGACATGGATTATTGAGAAAAAGAAAAAGCAATTTCATCTCAGTTCTAGCTCCTTTGTTAGGGATAAGAACCGCTTCAGCCACAGATGATGACAGGCTATGCTCCTGCTGCTAAAGCTTTACTGAAATTCAGGTCCCTGGGCTGACCTCCAGATTACTTGTTTTGAAATGAAACTGTATTGTTAGCTGCAATGTTCTTTTCTTTTTCTTTTGTTTCTTGGTATGTGCTTTGTTTCCTAAGTGCAGCAGAATATTAAGATGGTCTGCAATAGCAGAAGACTTTTAGCCTTTAACCCACCGCACCCCTCACCAGGCCACGCAAGGCTTGGCCACCGTTCCCAAATGCCAGTGAGCCTTGTGTTTCCAGGAACACAGCCCTGTCCTTCAGCTGATCAGGCAGTTTGTGCTTCATTGTGACTCATAATTGGGTGACAAGGGGACAGTTTGTGATCTGTTACATGAGTAGGAATCTAGATATAGCTCTGCAGTGTTGAAGTCTTGTCTTTGAATTCGTACTCATACTGACAGCAAATCTGCTCAGTGTCTCTACATTACATAAAAAAGCAGCTATAGTCAGCATTTTCCTGAAGTACCCTACGAAATGCACCAATCTGTCATGTAATTTGATAGTCCCCTGTCCTCCTCCAAAAGAATCCCTCTCATTCACCTTAAAGTCATATTTTCCGGGAAAAAGAAATTTAATTTTAGTAACTGGGAGGAAGATGTAATTAAAGATGACTAGTACAAAGGTTAGAGCAGGAGGGACTAAGTGAAGGTCTCTGTTGCATCTAAACAGTGTCCAGCAGTGTGGCTTGATTTCCACACTGGACTAACACAACATTTTTTTCCAGTACTCAGTCCAACTTAACTAAGACATGTATGGACAGCCCGGAAGGATCCACTGCAAAAAAAATCAAGTCTTCTATGCCAAATATGCCCTGATAAGAGGCTTTTTTCTAACAAATAAATAAATAAAGCAATACTTAACAGAAAGATCACAAGAGACACACAGCTGAATAAATGGGAATCAACTGGAACACACCTATATATTCTGTGCCTTCTAATGAATTTTGCACACTTGTGTTGTTGTAAAAGATTACTCCCTCCTGAGTAAGTGCTGAGCCCTGCTGCTGCTTTCTCCTCAAGTGAGTTAAGTATGTTTGTATCTTCCAAGACAGGATCAGAGGCAAATCTCGTAGAGTGTCCAGTGATTGCAACATTTAAAATAGAGGGGTAGCAGACACTAAAGAATATCAGCAAACCTTCTCTAGCTTATCATGTGGTACATTCTGATTTGTTTGCCTGCTTGCTTAAAATAAGGCTTGTAAATGTTAGTGATCTGTCCGTGCTGGGACAAAGGACTTTTGTCTGCAAACATTCAGTGTAGCTACGGTGGAGGCTTTTCTGCACCTTTAGAATTATGTAAGCAACATTATCCTTTGCTTTCAAGGGGATGGACTGAATTGTTCCTACCTCCTTCACTGGTCTCTGCAATCAGGTAAATTCTTTGGGGATTGGAATGCACACAAAGATAATTTCTGGCCTGCTGGCACTTTTGCAGGATATAACTAGCTTGTGGAATTCATTGCCACAGCTACTGCTGAGCTTTGTTGCCTCATTTTAAAGAAGATGAGAAATGTTACATCTTTGGAAGAAGGTACGTGGTACATGTGAATGACAACTGCCTGGAATTACAACATCAATTGCATACGAAAGGGTTTCTTGTACTCCTCCAAAGTGCCTGGGCTGTTGCACTTAGGGCAATGGAGCTATAGTCAATGCAGTGCTCTTGAATTTCACTGTGGTCAGTTGCCATCTGGTGTTTTTATGGCTAGGCAGCAGTGCAGTGCTATATTTTAAAGATTAACATGAAGATGCAAATGTGTGGAATTTTGTGCATAAAGATCAAAGTCACTACATAAATTGAAAAACATGTTATGCATAAAATAATTTATTCTTCATTTTATTATGCTACTTACTTTATACTGTTTTGAGTCTATTCACTGTAGGTCAGTTTGAAGATGAAACAGAATTTGTTCCCTGTTACTTTGAATTATTTTTGAATAACCTTTTTGTGAATGCATTAATTTTGTGAATTCATTAATTTGGTGAATGTAAAACTTGTCTGTTGGAATATTTTCATTTTTCTAAACCTATTTTTCTTAAATTCTTGTGTTTCCTTTTCTAGTACAGCACACTGTATGAGGCAAAGGAGGGAAATGCAGAGTTGAACTCTAAAGGATTTGTGTTTGACCTAGTGAAATTTCCTGCAATAGGAAGAACCCATTACAATCCAGGAGCTGAACCAGCCACAGAGAAGTACAAAATGTACTTGTTTTGGTTGCTTACTCTGCTGGGAAGAACATGGAGTTTTCAAGGTGATGAAATAAACCTCCTGCAAGTGGCAGGGTTTTGGCCTTTGGCTGTATATCTCCCAACAGGTACTCTTGCTTCCACCGCAGAGATACCCAGCCACGGCCTGACCATCCCGTGCCATGGGCCATTTCTCCTTTTCCCGTGCCTGGTATTTGATATCCCAATAAGAACAATGTCTGGAACGTGGCATCACTATATCACAGTGTCATATTACCCCTTCCCATAGCGGAGAGAGGGACAGCATCCTCTTGGATCTTGTGCTCAAGGATTCCTACTTCATCAGTTATTTGCTCAAGGCCACATCTGGACAGAATTGTGTTTTCATTGTTAATTGCAGGTCCTGATTTATGTGATTCCTCAGGATATGTAATGAGAACTGAGTTTAATTGTAATTGTATGCAGAGGCACCCATTTCACCTACTGAGAAAAACTTTCTACCTGATCTTACCAATTATGTATGTTCCTAATCATTCCAGCATTTCATATGGTTCTGGGATTTACAGGGGGAAGGGATTGTTGTTTGGGTTTGTTGTTTGGGGTTTTTTTAATCACCTTTCTAGTGTTTCAATCAGGTCTTGTTTTTCTTCCCTAAAAAAACAATTTTTTTTTTTTTTAGTTTGGTACTTATCTTAAGAGATGCTGTTAGTGTTAAGCTTCAAGGCACTATAAGATGGATTGCTTCAGCTGAGTGAGACCACAGTCAGCTTTACTTCAGAGTGTAATCCTGTGATACCAAAATTGCCTTCAGTGATTAAAGACTTAATAGCTTTCATTGATTGTCTCTGTAGTAAGGGATTTTGTAATGAGCTACTTTGTGTGAATATAGACTAGTGTCACTGTAGTGACAAATGTAACGTGAAACAAATCTTGATGTAACCTCCCTTAGGTTTTATGAAGGATGGATACCCATAGTGTATCAGAGGGGATTTTTTTTTTTTTACTGATACACAGCAGTGAAATTGATGATTTCAATCATATCTGAGAGAAGTTGTGTACTTACAAAAACCTGAGTTTTCTCCAAGAACTCAAACTCTAAGCAGCAGAATTTATACTAGACAGTGTATTTGATTCTCCCAACCAATGGATTCATTAAGAACAAGACAGGAAAGGAGGAGAACAGTTAACGTGTATCTCTGGGGGGACCTACAGACAACTACTCAAGATACGCAGAAACCTGAGGGGTAAACATTGTCCCAGTGATCACGTGCAATAAAATTCCTGGGCCTCTCTGGAAAGGACACAGGGATCAGTGGCCTTTGTAGCCAAGAAGCCACTATTACCAAGTCTCTACTAGCAATAGACTAAAAGGGTCTCTTAGCACCTTTGTACTTCAAATTGAATAAATTATACATTCTGGAGCCCTCTCAGAAAAGTCATTCCTTCCTTTCACTTTTTATTTTTTCTGCATGTTCTTCAGGTTTCTCAGATTTTCCAAGAGTGAGGTCTCAGAGCTAGCCTTCTGCCTTTTAATCTTTTTGCTTCCCTGAGGACAATGTTGTTGAAAAAGTAGCTTTTCCACCTCTCTCTGTGCCTCCAGAATGAATACCTCTCACCTACGTCCTCTGAGGAGAAGCCACTAGGGGTTGGTTTTGCATTATATCTTCAGAACAGCAGAAGCAAGAAAGCAGGAGGTACCATCAAGCACTGCAAAACAGGATGCACTATGTATAAAATGCTTGCTATTGTATAACATGCTTTAAGTGCTTTAGAAAGGGGGATAACACTGGGGGACCCAGTATAGACAAGTGGTCAGTGTTTAGACATTCTTTCCTCTGTAGTGGAAGAAATTAAAGCCATTTTTAATAATTATGGAGACCATTCCAAGGGCAAAGCAAGCCAAATCAGTAGTAAGAATCTGGTACTGTTGTACATTTAATTCTAAAATGATCAAACTTGTTTTTCACATATTTCATTTTAAATAGAAGGGTAATGTTTTTCAAGGCTTGGCCAAATAAGTTAGAGCTATTAAAGTAGCTGTTTTTTGTCTGTTTTAATAGTTTTCCTTTTTTAAGGACAAATATAATATAATAAAGAGCTATAATAATATTATTCCAGGGAAATAAATAAATTACTTGTCCAATCTTAATACATGTGTGTGTGTATGTACATGCGCACATATATTTACATAAAAAATATGTGTGTGTGTGTGTTTGGTTGGGCATATGGATGTGGAAGTATCATTGTGTGCATATGTACACTCCCTGCTCTTCTCCACATAGTACATTTTTTTGATTTCGGTAATTTTTAAGGGGAGTGCATCTTTCTAAGAAATAAGTAGTTGATTCCTTTTCCTCCTCCATGCATCAGCACTCTTTGGTATGTTGATTTTTTTTTAATGATGTCAGATGTGTCTTAGGCTCTTTTAGTTCTCTTTGTTACTAAACGGTGTTTCAACTGTATGAGAAGAGAGACTGGCACTAACTGTTGTCATTAAAAGAAAACGAAAGATTACTTTTCAAATCAGTCCTAGTGGATGAAGCAATGAAATCCAAATACGAATGAAAGAAAAATAACCTTGCTGAAGTGTTGTGAAGTTGTTTGGAATCTAACTCTTCAGCAAGAAAAATGGATGTACTTTTCATACCGCAGAATAGAATTTTCTGGCAGGCTCACAGGACTTAGAGGTGAGTGAGATCCATCATTGCCAACCCACCAACTTCCTCACAGTCCTCCTGGCACTGATGTGACACCAGGAAAAATCAACCAAACATCATGCTAATGAAAACTGGCCAGCCTCTCACCAACACCAGTGGGATTGGACTAGCCATGCAAGTAGCCTTTCTTTAGTTAAGTTGGCCTGCTAGTTCTTGCCTGTCAGTTCTTCAAGCTTGGGTAGCGCATGGGTTTCACCATGTCCTCCAGCTGGTTCCTGATGGGACACTCCAAGACAGGAGGAACATGTAAGTAGCACCACGCCAGTTCACGGCAAAGTTTCATCTCCTAAAAACAGAACTAAAGAGCCTTGGGTAGAATTTGGCTGTTATAGAAGGAAATGGAGGTCTAATAGGACAACAGAAACTTTCTCCAGCATATGGACTTGCAGCTCATTGGACTGTTCTCTTTGTCTCTTGGCCTGATTCCTAAAACTTGTATAATCATATATATATACATATATATATATGCACTATTACATATAAAGCTACTGTACACTGAATACAAGTCAGTTATGGAGCTTGAGGGGAGCAGGAGCGCAGGGGTTAAGAATGGCTGCCAGCTATGTAGAGGCAGCACCCTAGAGAAGAAGACCTAGTGCTGGACTTTGAGTGCTTCTCTCTGATAGTGGGAGGAGCTGGAGATTAGAGATGCTGGAACTAAAGGACTAACTGGAAAACAGCTGCTGAGAGAAGCTGAGGTATTTGTCAGAGATTAAAGAAGCCCAATGGAAAGGGTAATAGGAAGGTTCTCAGGGGAGCATGTGTGTATCGATATACCAGAGGGCTGTGCCACCATTCAGAGGGCACTCAGAAGCTTAGAGAAAAAGGTCAACAGGAACCTGATGAAATTTAGTAAAGGGAAATGCAAAGTCCTGCACTTGAGGAGGAACAGCCCCAGACATCAGTATATGCAGGGTGCACCCAGCTGGACGGCAGCTTGGCAATCTGCCCTTCTCACAAACAAGGCCAACAACCTCCTGGGCTGCATGAGGAAGAGTGTTACCAGCAGGTCAAGGGCTGATCCTTCTCTTGTGCTCAGCCCTGGTGACACACACCTCAAGTGCTGGGTCTGGTCCTGGGCTCACCAGTGCAAGAGACAGTACAGACTGGAACAAGCACAGAAAAGAGCCACAAGGATGATGGACTGCAGCATCCCTCACACAAGGAGAGGCTGAAGGAGATGGGAGTGTTTAGCCTGGAGAAGGCCGATGAGGGAAGTTATTCATATGTATAGATATTTGATGAGGTGAGTGAAGAAGTCAGACTCAGTCATATCCAATGACAGAAGCAATGGACACAAATTGAGGTACAGGAAACTCCTATTAAACATAAGGAAAAGCTTTTTCTCTGTGAGGGTGGTCAAACACCAGAGCAGGTTGCCCAGAAAGGTTGTGGGGTCTCCATCTTTGGAGATACTAAAAAAACTAACTGGACACAACCCTGAGCAACCCATGCAGAGTGACCCTGCTGTGATTATGAAGCTGGGTTAGCAACCCCCAGCAGTGCCTCCATCCCAGTGGTGTGGTGAGCCTGCGATTACAGCAGTGTGTACAGGCTCTTCTTCAGTCTGCCACTGTCAACTTCCCCGTCTAGGCCAGAAGAGACCTATGTTGTCAGGGAAAAGAGCTGCAGTAAATTCTCCCCTCTCCAGCGTTGCTGCATGCTTCCCTCCTATTTCCCTGGCCTGACTGCATAAAGCAATGAAAGCTGAACAGCAGACAGAAGGCAGCTTGTGGGCCTGCCAAGAAGCAAAACAGCAGAGAAGTGAGGCTGGCTGTTACATCCCACACACCCTGCTACACTGGAGAAGTTGTCTCAGCTGTATTATTGCCACTGGCCCTGGAATGATGATTGCCTGCTGCTGCACTATATGACGGCAGAGCAGGATACAGCCTCCCGTTTCTATTCCATACTGCTCTTCACAGTCCTCAGGGCAGGCATAAAATAAAAGTGAGGTAAACCCAGCAGGCAACACAATGAAAACCAAACAGATCTGCCTGATTAAAAAATAGTTCTGACATACAACAAATGTATTTAATATGTCACAACAATTAGAGGAATTCAAGTAAATTGACAGGTCATCTGAAGGTGTCACCCGCCTGATACACACATTTTGGTAAGTGCAGCCATTCTGGCACCATTAGTAGCAGAGTAAAAGCAAGACATCACACCCCTAAAAACCATACTGTAGATAATTACTAACCATTGACTAATAAATATGGCACAGGGGGTAGCAGTAATCAGGAGGAGAGGGAATCTCATTGTATAGACAGTATATCAAGCCCCACCCTGCTCTAAGTCAAATTATATCATATTACAGTAGTCAAACATAAAAAAAATCAAACCAACCAACCAACTAACTAAAAAAAAAAGCAGAAAACAACACAAAATTAAAAATAAACCATTCTAAAATTTTACATTTATATTATATCAGCAGCAGCTGTGCCACGAAGTCCACCTAGAACACTGCAAAACCTTGTCAGGCTAGTCAGCTCTGCAAATCAGGACACTTTTATTTAGTTCAGTGTTGAGCACCTGTCATGTTACTTTCTACCTTAAAATAGGCAACTTCTATCAGCTGGCAGTACTTGTAGTTATCATTACTGTTCATAGCAAGAGGCTGGCTTCTAAGAAGTGGCATTGCCCTCACCAAGGGAAGTATTTTGCCGAACACACCCGTCTTTATGTGGATGGAGCAACAGAAGTGGCTGGGAGCCCACTGACTTGGCTGCATCCTTCATTGCTGGTGGCCTCTGGCTGTCATTTTAGACAGATCATCAATTTGTTTTCAAACCACTGGCATCCCTCTTAATGATGGAAAAGAGTCAGGGATGCAAGGATAGTAGCAGAATTCAGGCCTGGGTTTGGAAGACCTCTCAGTCTGCAGATAGGTCTAAAGTCAACTGTGAGTGGTTATCCAAGCTTTGCTCTGGCACACTGCACTTCACTACCTTTCACTCACAGTCGTTGAGTGTTTCAGGCTCTCCTGGGATCAAGCTGTAAAAATCATCAGATGTTTCCACAAATTGTTTTGTTCTGATCCCAATAGAAAAGTGCTTAGTAAACTAAATACACGTGCACTTTATATTATGCTAACAGAAAACTAAACCACCACCTA